TTGTCTAAAATCTCCAGCGAATAAGAATACGACTCCTCCAAATAATAGATTATTACTTCTAATATCCTGCATCGTCCTATTCACGGCTTCTATAGAAATTTTGTTTGCCATAGTGCATTCGTCCCATACTACAAATACACAATCTTGTAGTACTTTGGCTTTGAGACTATTTTTGGGTATATTGCAGACTGGATTTTCCGTACGGTCTAAATCTAGTGGGATTTTAAACATAGAATGTGCCGTTTTTCCGCCAGGAAGTAAGGTTGCCGCTATGCCGGACGATGCGACTGCTATGGCAATCTTCTTTTCTGCACGTATTTTGGCTAGCAAAAGATTAATCAAAAATGTTTTGCCGGTACCACCTGGAGCGTCTAAAAAATACACTCCACCAGCATTTGCATTTATTTTATCAATGAGGAGTCGGTAAATTTGATTTTGTTCATCGTTTAGTCGTGGTTCATTATGATTTATAGTATTTTGAAGTTCAACTGGGTCAAAATTTGTATGTTCAATATATTCTTTGTTTAAATTTTCATCAATTCCATCAGTCGCTTGTGGAGATGGTAAACCATAATGAGGGAGAGAATTGCCGCCTATCGAAAGAAGAATGTCTTGTAATGCAAACAAAGCTCTATTTGTAAATACGTCTAAATGAGAATTTATGTCTGCATTCGGGTAATGCCGTTGGAAATCTCTTACATAATCATCTGTAAAATGATCCTTGAACTTGTCCCATAACTCTGTGGGATTAGAGATATTGCAGAAAACTAAAATAATGGCGAATAGTTCTCGTAATTTAGATGCGTTGCTGCTTATACTGGCATCTGTTAAAGTGTCGAACCAATGATTATCGCCTTCTAGTAAGCCAAGAGCAAGACATGCCGCTTGATATGTAGGATGTAAAATTCCATTCACCCATTTGAGACTTTCAAAAGAAGTTGGTCCTTTGACAAATGTTAATAACAACCTCAGATAATAACATTCCCGATTATTGGGGTGAATTGTATAGATTCTCCCAAGTGTATGCTCATAAAATATGCCGGGATGACCTTCCACAGGAGTACCTCGACGTCGCCGTTGAAATGTTCCATTTTGTTTATTAAATGTATAATAACCTGGTATTTCTTCGTACAATAAAGAAGCTGCGAATTCGATGTAAAAAAAGAAAAGCAGTAAAAATGTAACAAAATATTTTGAATGAATTAAGATGAGATTAGAAGAACGGATCAGTGGAATTATCAAAGTTACTTATCAATCAAATCAAACTATCAATCAAAAGTATGATAAAAGCACCGGAAACCATTAATTTCTAAATGAAGTCGTCGAGACACAACCTTCAGCAATAGCCCGCTCGCGCGTTCTGAGCCCGCGCGATAGGCAGCCTTTGTGATAATGTTTCGTTGGTGGGAGAAGTGGTGGGGAGCCCGCGCGACAGGCAGCCTTTGTGATAATGATTCGTTGGTGGGAGGCGTCCGATGCGACGACACAGTGGTGGCATGCGCGTGAGCTGCGCGCGGAACTGGACAGTACTTGAACATTTCAACATAACTTTATTTTTCTAAAATAAAAGATTTTTTTCTAAAATAAAAGTAGCCTAAGTTACTCCTTATTACATAAGCTATCTGCCAGTGGAAGTCCCGTCCAAATCGGTCCAGGCGTTCCAGAGATTAGCCGGAACAAACAGACAGACAGACAGACAAAAATTGTAAAAAAATATATTTTAGTATGTGTACCGTATATACATTCATATGCATGTAGTAGGAAGTAGTTATTTTAATATTACAAACAGACACTCCAATTTTATTTATTTGTATAGATGTATTATATGTATATATTATTGTTTAAATTTATTTCCAGGTTTTCTTTAACAGTATTATTTATTTTCGTGGTATCCCTTTGATTACTAGCCACATTTTCTTGGATATATTTGACATAGTTTTGTTCTTGGATATATATCCATTTCTTGTGAATAGTTTTGTATTTTAGATATTTTTACACATTTTTTAAATAATTTTTAGTACATTTTGTAGTCGTATTGTATAACTTTATCTTTTGTTTGATTTACTAATGTCTTTAACAGTCTTTTATGTTTACCTACACTATTTATGTATTCCCTTAGTTGTGTAGTTGTTACTTTAAGTTTGATTACTTTGAGACGTTTTAGTGGGACTGTGGAGTTTATATTTCCTTTCAATTTTTCCGAAAATTAAAAAGCTTCGTAAAAGTAATTTGACATATTTAATACTACAATATAAATAATTACTAAGATGTAATTTTTTAATGGAATACGGAGCAATAAGGAGCAAAGAGCAGACGGATCACTTGATGATACTTGCTGCGGATAGAGATGAAGATGGAGTATGCAAAAAAGATTCCATACCTTAAATATGAGTCGCGGAGAACCTAACGGGTTACTGGGGCTCCGGCTCGAGGCGCAGGAGAAGGAACGGGGTGTTTTTTAGTCAGTAAGAGTCTGACACTCCCTCCCGTCTCACCCAGGCCCTTAAAAAAATACCTTAAATACCTATACGTAGACAATGTCCTCTTTGGGTTTATGATCAGAATAAAGATGGAAACTTCTAGGCAAATAATTTAACCTAATAGAAATAGGTCTGAAGACACGTGCTATTTAAAAAAAAGTGTTTAAAAAAACAATGCAAATAATTATCGACCCATCTTATTTTTGAATACCGTTATCGATCCAAAGTGTATAATAAATATTCACAATAAGATTATGCAGGTGATTTTGAGAGTACATTGTCCTATGGGATTCTATTTTCAATGAATATTTAATCCAACACTTTGGTAAGTAATACGAAATCACTGCTAATTTATTTTGAGTCCTACATCTTTAGAATAAGAGTACAAAATCTTCTAACGTAAGGATATTTTCGGCAAGGCCTCAAATAAAAAACAGTTATTTGGGTATTGAAGGAGGTTTCGAGGTGTTCCCGTAACACATTGTGTCAATTGTGACGTGTCAATGTAGCTGGCCAGTTTGTAAGCCTTTGTACAGGAAGAGTTTGTGGCTACATGTGTGTGGAGCTTGGAGTGGATACAGGACGAGCGAACGGTACATCTTTGTATAACAGAGTTTGGAGATCGGTTGTTATTAGTGAAACAACTTGTTGTCGTAGATCGAATGAATTTATTAGCCGGAGGTGGTTATTTTTATACAAAAATTGGTACTAGTGCTACTTACAACTAATTCTGTACATTAACCAATTAAAACTATTAAATTAAAAATAAATAAAATTTAGAAATTTGTACACCAATAACATCGCCTAAATTATAGCCAATAGCGTTACACTATTTAGGACAGAACTTTATTTACAATGTGAACAATGGAAAGAAAAGGATAGCCGATAAAAGAGCGAGATAGTCGATGAGTGAGAGGTCCGTGCAAAGAGGACGCGCCTCCGCAGCGCCGCGCGCTGAGTTTCGCGCCGCTATAAATATTGCGTAACGCGTGCCTCTGTCCTTTCCTCCTGCGACCGTCGAGCCGTGAAGATGTAAACGCCGTGCGCCGTGCCGCGCTGCGATACCTACGCGCGTTGGTCGGCGCGTGATACTGGCAGCGGCGTCGGCGAGTTACTTCGTCTCTTGTAGACAGAAGATCAAAAACGTTCAGCAAAATAGCTCTTTTCAGAGCTTTCTGTGTTAACAGAGCATATCAAAAACGTGAAATAAAATAGCTCTTCTCAGAGCTGTCTGTGTTAACAGAGGTGGTCAAAAACGTTGAATAATATAGCTCTTTTCAGAGCTGTCTGCTTCTTGGTTTCTGTTAAACGATGGTCTAAATCCTTGTAGCTTGTGCTATGGCTAGTGTGGCTACAGTACTCCCCCTCAAGCGAAGCGTACCGGCAGTTTGACGACACGACCCGAGCGAGTTTTCTTATCGCCGGGATGTGACGTTGCTGTTGGTTGCGGTACATGTGTTTTCTTGGTAATCTTGCTGGTTTTCTCGGTAATGGTGGTTGAAGGTAATGGTAATTGCTTGGTAACGCTGGGTTGAGGTAATGTGAAGGTAACTGTACTGGAGGTTGGAGGTAAAGTATCTTGAATGTCTTCGGTGAGTATAAATGCAGGCTTCAATCGGTCGATTGATATATTTGCTTGACGCTCTGGTAATTGTACTGTGTATACCTTCTCAGTACGTTGTAACACTCTGTAGGGTCCTTCGTATGGTGATTGAAGTGGTTTTTTTACTGCATCTGTTCTTATGAATACGTGGCTGCACGTGAGTAGGTCTTGATGCACGAATACGCTTTTATTGCTGCTGTGATGCTTCGTAGGTACTTGCGGTTTGTTTTGTTGAATTATATTACGTAGGTTGTCAACGTAGGTATAATCCAAAGTAGCAGGTGTGCAGGTGGTACTTGTAGTGAAAAATTCGCCAGGTAGACGTAGATTGTAGCCGTAGGTAAGTTCGGCGGCACTCACACCTGTGTCTGAGTGTAGCGCGGCTCGAAGTCCTAGTAGTACAGTAGGTAGTACGTCGGTCCATGTACTTGCGCTCGCGAGTTTGGCGCGTAATGCAGTCTTGAGTGTTCGATGCCAACGTTCAATTATGCCGTTGCTTTGTGGATGATATGGTGTAGTACGATTTTTCTTGATTCCCATTAATTTAGTTAGGTTTTGAAATAGTTGACTCTCGAACTGACGACCTTGATCACTTGTGATGGTAGTCGGGCATCCAAATCGGGCGATCCAGTGTTGGTACACAATATCGGCGATTCTAACAGCTGATATTTCGTCGGTAGGTATTGCTTCGGGCCACCTAGTTAGTCGGTCGATCATCGTTACTAAGTACCTGTGACCTTGAGGTGTTGTAGGTAGCGGTCCGACGATATCAATGTGTAGGTGTTGGAATCGCTCGGTTGGCGGGAAAGATCCGACGTTCGAGTGCGTATGTCGTTGTATCTTGCTTTTCTGGCAAAGTATACAAGTTCGAGTCCAGCAACCGATGTCTGCGTTCATTGATGGCCAGAAATATTTTTGAGTAATGAGTTTGCGAGTCGTGCGTGTACCGGGATGACTGATGTTGTGTACACTGTCAAATACTTGTTTTCTATATGGTTTAGGTATGTACGGGCGTACATAAGAGGTCGATGTTTCGCAGTATAGTTCGATGTCGCTGTTAGGTATAGGTATTTTCTTCAAAGTTACGTTTTCTTGTGATAACAGTTGTTTAATGTTGCTGTCCTTGTCTTGCGCACTCGCTATGTCGTTGTAGTTGATTGCAGATGGGAATGTGATGGATTCTATGCGGCTTAGGGTGTCGGCAACAATGTTGTCTTTGCCGCTCACGTGTCGAATGTCGGTGGTAAATTCACTGATGAATAGTAACTGTCTTGTTCGCCTCTGAGTTTCGGAATTTGATTGAGTCTTGGACATCACATATGTTAGCGGCTTGTGGTCGGTGAATATGATGAGATGGCGACCTTCGAATATCTTCCGGAAATGTTTGACTGCCATGTACATTGCAAGTAGCTCTCGATCGAAAGTGGAGTATTTCTTCTGCGCGTCGTTGAATTTCTTGGAAAAGTATCCGAGCGGTTGCCACGTATTATGTAGGTATTGTTGTAGTACGGCACCGGCAGAGTTATCTGATGCGTCGCAGAATAAGGCGAGTGTTGCGTGATGAGATGGATGAGCGAGTAGAGCTGCGTTTATGATGCTAGCTTTACATTGCTCGAATGCTTGCGTCGCCTCTTCGGTCCACGTGATCGGAGTCTTGTCGCGCTTCTTGACGTTGTGTAGGTAGGCATTTAGTGGTGCTTGCTTCGATGCGGCGTTCGGTATGTGATCACGATAGAAGTTGATCATGCCGAGGAATCTTCTTAGTTCTTCGATGTTCGTTGGTTTCGGGTAATTAGTGATTGCTTCGATTTTGTGTTGCGGCGGCTTGATTCCATCAGCTGATACGGTGTAACCTAGGAACTGTACTTCAGGTTTGCCTAGGTTGCATTTAGCGGGGTTGATGGTAATGCCGTTGTCTTCTAAGCGTTTTAATACGGTGTGGAGATGTTCTCGATGTTGAGTTTCATTTTCAGATGCAAGTAGTAAGTCGTCGATAAATGGGAAAACAAATTCTAATCCTCGTAGTACTTCATGTATGTAGCGTTGAAACGTTTGTCCCGCGTTTTTCAAACCGGGGCACATACGTGGGAATTCAAATAGTCCCATTGGCGTGATGATAGCGGTCTTCTCGACGTCTTCTTCTCGCACACTGAGTTGTTGATAAGCGCGGTTGAGGTCAACCGTGGAGAATATAGTTTTCCCCGATAGGTGGTGAGTGAAATCTTTGATGCGTGGCACTGGGTATCGATCTGGTATAGTGATCGAGTTGAGTCGGCGATAGTCACCACATACTCTAATATCGCCATTTTTCTTAGGCACGATGTGTAGAGGTGATGACCATGGACTCTTGCTAGGTCTGCATAGTCCTTGCTCAATCATATTTTCGAATTCTTTCTTCACTGTTTCGAATCGATGAGGTGGGATTGGTCGAGCTCGGCAATGAACTGGTGGTCCACGGGTTTCGATGTAATGTTGCACGTTGATGTTAGAGTTTAATTTCATTGATGTTAGTCTTGTTATGCCGGGATATTGTGCTAATATGTCGTGGTATGATTGTGACATATTGATGCTGCGTACGGTAGGTACGTCTGACACTCGTACCGGGGCGTTGACTTTTAGGCTCGTGACGCCGTC